GGACATGTTACCCAAGAGGGATTTTTCTACAGTTTTGGCTGCAGTGTTTATATTAAATAGAAACCTAATGCTGGATTGTATCTGGTAAATTCAGAGTGACAGAGATATCCAGGTGCCTGCACATGTAAACGTAATTGCTTTGTTTCTCTAAGAATGGTTTCTTAGTTTGCACAGCCAAAGAGTGGGGAGCTGTGCCCCACTGTTTCAGTTGAACTTGCTTCCTTTTTAAGATATAGGAAAAGAAAAGGCCAGCTAACTCACCAAACTGGGAGAAGTGACTTTCTGGAAGGATGGTGACACTGCATACTTTCTTTATTTTCTCCTGGGGATATGAGATACGCTGGACCTGCCTGACAAAAATACCAGTCACTGATAATCTAGCACATAATTCTCCTAGATATTAGTAGCAGCAGCTCAATGACAGACATTCTGTACTCAGCAGTACACTTTCTCATTTTTTCTCCCTCTTGCATACTTTCTGTCATACAGGCACAGGTAAGTAGTTGTCTATTCATCTAAATGAGCAGAAGTGACACAGGGTGAACAATCAGGTGGACCATAACCCTTTTCCCCATCCAGGTGCCAAACTCTCAGTTTCTTTTTTCTTTCCAGGCAGCTGCTCATTGTGCTTTTTATGGCATAGAGATCATATAGGTTGCAGGGAATAATAAAACCATAGATAAGAAAGAAGTTTGGTCCTCCTTCACCCAATACCACGGGACTGAAGATAACACTGCATTATGCCTCTCTCATTTTAGCGATTTTTCTGGAAAGCCGCTTTATGGTTTTGTTGCAAAGAACCATTTTAAAGTCAGGGTAGAAGTCATCCCCAAAACTATTTACTCTTCTTGATATCATACAGATGAAGTGAAGTTCTTCATTAGAGCATGCCCCATGACAAATAATGCCCTGGTAATTAAGGGTGGGGATTTTCATGCGGTGACTGATGATGCCTTGGAAAAGAGCCATGGCACTGTGCATTCAAAGCTAAGCTATCTAAATCCTTGCAGAACTCATTTATGCTTTTGGGAATATAGGACAGGTGTGGCAGTTACTAAACCTGGATGCCTGAGTATTCACCTCTTTTTCCCAGGTGTGGGCCATTAATTCTCGCTCAGACTTGTTTAGTTCTAACAAGCCTCTTTGGAACCAGATTTTATATATACACATGCACTTGATACATAGTATTTCCCTTTCAGTCTATTTTTCTACTTCGTTTTTACTCACCTCCAGCTACATAGCTTTGCTTTTTCTAACATTCTGCACATACATGAAGGTAGAAAACAATACGTTTAGTGGCAGCCTAAAAGCAGCCTTTGCATTCTTGGTATTTTGATAACCAGACATAGAGGAAGCAGTGTTGGAAGATGCTGAACTAGCAACTGGAAATACTTTCTTGTAAGAATTATTAGCAGCATAGAGAGAAAGAACAAAAGCATTGGATTCTTCCTCTCCAGGCAGTGTTACAATGAAATGGATGTTTGCTATTAGAATAGAATGGCTGCTTTCTTTGCTTCGTATTTTCTAGAACAAAAGCACAGTAACTTTCCAAGGCTACAGTGAGTCAGTGCTCGAATTAGCAGTGCAGTCCTGAAGTAGTGATCACCACTACTAAGCAATGCTTCCTCTCCTTTCTCTTCATCTATTCAAAAAGGCTACCTTTGACAAATCAACTATTAATAGTCAAGTTTCTACCTTAGTTAAATTATCAAATTGGATTGGGTGACATTTCTAACAGTAGCATTTTGATCTTGGTGGAGGTCAGTCCTAAAGGCAAAAAACAAACATTGTAACATGAAAATGCAAGAGCTATTAAGAAATAATAAAAAATAATAGGAAAAACTCCTACTACAGACTTTGTATTACTGGGATTTTCCCAAAAGCAATGCCATCTGCTTTGTGATCATAAAGAATACAATCCTATTCCACAGTCTTTCTGTCCAGCTTCAAACAAATCTAAGTTGCGAGAATGGGAGTAGCAGTTAGTAAGAAAAAAATTTCTCAGAAGACCAACAATGACAAGGTTAGAAACTTCTTTTTTCTTTTTTTTCCATGTCAAAACAGGCAGCAAGAGACTGCTACTGCTGCTTCTTAACTGTTTGTTCACTCTTCTGTCATGGCTTAGCACTCTTTGAATGATTAAACCAGAACAATAAATGGCTGGCAGGGGTGGACTACAGAGCTGCATCTTTTCAGCTTCTGGATGCCCTGTACAGACAGGACAGAAAGCTTCAAAACCATTTAGTGTACCTGCCCACAGACACGCTTTACAAATAGTCCAAGAGACCAATTTATAGGCATATATATTTTAAATGTATAGACAATTTCCTCTCTTCTAAAACTCAACAAAGTGAAATATCACCAAGAATTCTAAAGATATGACAGAGGAAAAAACTACAGCCAAACCACGTGCGAAAGGTAAAAAGTCCAGTGAAGGCTATCCACAAGGGAAGGGAAGGCAGGTAACTGAATGTTAACAGGAGAAAGAAGTATAGGTTGTAGTCCAGTACATTCATATTGTTTTTATTTTCGGAGAAAGAAATAACTGTCTATGAACACAGAGGTAACAACCATAAATACTGGAATAGGACAATAAATAAGATGGAGAAATAGATGGAGAAATAAAGCAGTTTTCACACTCTAAGCATAAGGCTGCAGAAAACCTTTTTGGTAAGCATTAAGTGAACATACTGACCAAGCACCAAACAGGAACATTTACTCCAACAGGTTCCTTTGCCCCCTACATGTTTGCCTCCAGTTCTCACAGTTAGTTTCTGTTTCTTCAGTAGTCCTTCTGTCTTGAGCTGTGATTTACTGTGTATTACTTGAAGACGCTGAAAACTTGTGGTTTTATTGTTGCTGGTGGTGTCATTTTTGAGAGACCAGTCCTTCAAAACTGGGCTATGCATGCGAAAGCACACCACCATGCCACCATCACAAAATTAGACAGTCTTATGGTAGACTGTTGATACAGGCACACATCTGGAATTGGTGTGCAGAGGGCTACAGCCCTGCTCCTTACACTGAGCTCCAGAGCCAACACACGGCTCATGTGACCTAACTGACGGCCAGCAGATAAGGCATGTATTTCAGTACCATGCCTTTACAACAGCACTCCTTATGTTTTTGTGATTACTTTCTAGACTACTTCCCTCACATCCCATTTGCACTGGGGGATTTCTCCTGCAAACACTTAAAGCACATTGTGTGAGTTTTCCCAGGACATGATGCCAGCCAAGCACCGGAGCTCCCAGTGTGCACAGAATTACATATGGGCTTTAATGTTTAGAACAAGCAGGCTACATAAGAATGAGTTTGTCTGTATTTTATTTTCTTCGTCTTCCTTCAAAGAAGAATGATCGAATAGCCATAAAGCACCAGGAAACCCCATGGGAGCACTTTACGAGCACACAGGGAACTATGTAAGGACAGGATAATGCTTAATGCTTACCTGGAATTTTTGCTCTAGTTACAGACGGATGAATCATTGCCAGAGAAAACCGTTTCGACTGGGAAACAGAAAAACACGTGAGATATTAAATATCAGAGACTGACAAGGAAGCAGCACCCAATAGCAATGAGCGGTGCTGAGCCGTTTGTCCAGAGTAACCCTCAGAACTGTTCCGCAAATGGGGCTCATTTTCCACGGGGCGTTACGGGGGAGGTGCGCACCGCCGGCACGCACACGGCTGCTGAGGGCGTTTTACACACGCGGACCTTCAGAGCCGGTGACGTTACATCCCGGCACGCGCCTGGTCCGAGCTCGGGGTGCGGCCAGGGCGGCAGGAAAGCACCAACGGCCTGCTCACAGCTTTCATCATTTTGCGATATTTGCAAAGAAACGTAACCCGTAATCTCAGACATCCAAGGGGGCCGCCGTACTTTCAGCTCCGTCCCCTCGACCCGAGGTACGCAGGAAGGCCGTGTCGCCCGCCCCGGAGGCGTCGGCCACCGCCTTACACCAGAGGCGAGAAAATGGCGCCCGGGACCGGGCCGCACGAGCGCCCCCCAATGGCGGGGCGGGGCGGAGCACAGAGCGCTCCGAGGCAGCGCCCCGAGGCCGCCGAGGGCCCCACAGAGTCCCCATACAAACGCAGCCGCGCCCTTTAAGCGCGAGGGCGCGCGATTGGCCGCGGAGACTGCCAATCAGAGCGGGCGTTGCATCACCCCGGCGGGAGGGCGGGCGGCGATCGGCGTGCGGGGCGGGGCGGCGCGGGGCGGGTTTCGCAATCGCCGCTCGGCCGCGCTCCGCGCGTGAACGAGGAGGCTCGGGCCCGGCCGCGCCCCTCCCCTCCGCCGCCGCCCGCGCCGCCACAGGTAAGCGCCGCCGCGCGGGGGGCGCCGTGCCGGGCCGTAGGGGCCGCCCCCGCCGTGCGTCCGTCCGCCGGTGGCGCGGCGGCCCCGCGCGTGGGAGCGCATGATGCAATCGACGGGCGGCCCCGGCCCGCGCCTCTCCTCCCCCCCGGTGAAGTCACGGCTTGGCGCGGGCGGGGGAGGAGCGCGGGCGGGCGGCCCCCCGGGCTGCGGGCCCCGCGGGGCGGCGGGGGAGGGCCGGGAGCCGCCCCGGGGCAGCGGGCGCCGAGGCCGGAGGGGCGGGGGGGAGAACGGGCGGGGCGGCGGCGCTGATGTCAGCGCGGAGGGGCCGCCCTGTAACGCTGTGCCGGGAGCTGCGGAGCCCCGACGGAACGCGGCCGTCGCGGCGCCCCGAGGCCGAGCGCCGAACGCGTCGAGATCCGAAAAGTTCACATTAGGAGTCTCTCATCTTTATAGCGGCCGCCGCAGCCGCGGATGCTCCGCGTCCCGACAGCGCTGGCCGGGCGTCGTGGCAGCGCGGTTCGGCGGCTGTCCTGAGCGCGTGCGCTGCTGGCGCTGTCGGGCCGTGCGCGGGCCGCGGGCGCTCCGAGGGAAGGTCAGCGGCGTCCCGCTGCCGGCTGTGGCAGCAGTGACGGAGCAGCCGTGCAGCCCAAAGTGAGTTGTGGAGCAACCAACCAATCGGATTTATTTAACAAATTAAAACTTTTTTTTCTTTTTGCTAAGGCAAACGTTTGGAAGTTTCAAATTTGGGGAAGAAAGCAAAACTAATAAAGGGCCTGACGTGCCTGAGACTCCAAATCCCCAGGGAGCTGCAGCCGGCGGAGCCCCCAAGTGCCACTATTGTGTGCACTGGGTGGTGGTGGGTGGCAGCCGGTGGCTGCAGTGGAACTGGGCAGCGCCGGCTGCAAGAGCAGCAGCAGTGCTGAGCAGAACCAGCCCAGAGCTGCCCTGTGCCAGCTAGAAGCTGCGTGGGAAGGGATGCCATGGAGCTGCTGCCTGTCGTGTCATGCTGTCACCCTCCCACAGCTAACGTGTCAGTGTGGCACAAACCTGAGCAGTGAGCCTTGGCAGCCATCTGCTCACAGCCTTCCCCAGGTGCACAGTGCTTTGCCACAGCCCCTTCTCAATACCCTCCCCTTCCCATACCCTCAAATCTCCTGGTGGCAGCTGTGAAGGAGCCCCACGGTACCCAGTACTGGAGCAGGACAGGAGTCGTGTGTCACATCTCCCACGTGAGTGCTGGATGAGCGTGTTTCCCATTGAAGAAACAGTTGACACAGCATAGGGCAGTTCCAGGGGTCAGGAACTGGGGAAGACCTGTTGCAAAGTGCTCTGTGTGTCAGGACTAACAGCAGCTTGGAGATGTGACGCTTGGGTTCTGTTTCTCTGCTTAACCCACATTCTCTTTCACTGAGAAGTATCCCATTACATTTCAGTTTAATAGAGCACATAATTTTTTCCTTTGAATTGTGGGGGCATCAGATAGAGATCTTATGCATATGTTAGAACAATATTAAATACTTTTGATAGAATAGAGAGAATAGCAAGTGGAACCTGGTGCTGTGAAGGAACTTGTCAGATGTTGGTGATGCTTTCAGGGCAGTTCCGCCTGTTCTTATGCAGTGGACACAACACAGCTGGTAGATGTGGCATTTCCCCAGTGCTGATCTAGCTGGGCTGCCTGGGAGAGCACTGCCATGCTGAAATGGAGGGGACTGAAGGCCATGCTATCCAACGTCTGCTCTGACATCTCTCTGTCCTGAAATCTGAAAATATGAAATATGACAATTTATTGAGGGGTGTGGTTGTACTCACACGACTCACACACCTCTTTCACTTGCTTTAAGGGAAAAGAGTTCTTGGCAACAGAATGTTAATTTTGAATAACACTGAAGCCAAATGACGGGTCTCTGCTGTGAATCTTACTGAGCCATACTGTACAGCTGCACCTAGTTCAGGCTTCCTCAGACTGTGAAAGAAAATGTGCAATTGACAGTTAACGTTTTAATCTCATTAATGATAACCCAGCAGAAGGTAAAATGGCACTTAAGCTGTGGTGGAAAACTTATACAGGAACAGCATGCAGCTGAGGAGCCCCTGAATTTTGCTGAGCATTGCCACACGACTGCTGCCTCCTGTGCTGTCAGATGTAAGGCTGGGCTGGGCACTGCGCAGCTCACCTTGTGTTCTGCTGGCCTCAGCTGCTCTTTCCAAACGGGTCCTCCTGGGAGAGTGGCAGCAGTGAAGTCTTGTACCACCAGCAGGGTTAGGAGCAGACTGAGCGCCAGGTGGGAGGATGTCCCTGCCTCAGGCTGTCTGCCTCAGCCTGCTGGGGAGAAGCATAGACAGTGAGTGCTTTGAGAGCCACAGTGGAGGAAAGCGTGCTGTGGGCAGGTCAGCTATGGCCCATGTCTCCTTGTAGGTGGCAACAGTCCCCTGTCTTTTAAGTGCAGTGGTTCTCACATTGTTTTCACCCTGCTTTCCTGTCCCACCTGCCCTCACAGCACTGGTAAAGGCTTGGCTGGTCTTACCTTGTTTGTGGCTGAGGGTTTCCTTTTGCGTCGTTCAGTCACAGCCTTCACAGCATGCACTACCTCCTCTTGTACATTTTTGCACTGAGTACTGCTGAGACTTTAAACAACCATCAGTTTGGGCTCCATCTTCAAAAACAAGTAAAACAATCTTAAAGCTGGTGAAAGCACTGGAAGATGTTGTGAGATGTTCAAGGGAAGGTAGACTGTCTCTAGAATAAAGCAGAGACCACCAAGGAATGTGCATACACCCAGAAGGATGGTTTGGAGAGGACAAGGATCAAGCACTCCTGTTGGTCAGGAGTCAGGGTGTTAATAGGTTTAAGCTGCAGAAGAAAGAATTTGGTCTGAAATTAAGAAAATTATATAACTGGGAGAAAAGTTAGACAGTGGAACTAGTTGCCAAGACAGAGGTTGTGAAACGAGATTTTTCAAGGCTAGGCTAGACACCCATCCATCAGGGATGGCTTGGAATAACTGAGTAAATCCAGTGAACAATGCAAACAGCTTGACTGGATGACCCAGTAACAGTCCCTTCCAATCCAAATATGTTCGAGAGGCTTCTGAAATGTCCCAGCAATTGGCAGCTTTTCCACTTCCAGCATAGTTTTGGTGTGTTGCTGCCAGATGTGCCATTGGTGCCTTCTGCCAAAGGCAGTGATGTGTAAGACTGTAGCCGAACATAGCACCTTTAACAGCATTTGTTTTTCCTTCAGGGTTCACCTTGCCCTTAACCCATGTGAAGACTTGCTGGAAACACGATCTAGAAAAGAGTTTTTAGTCTTCTAATACTCTGTTGTGTCAAAGAAGAGCCCGTCCAAATGAGCAAGACATCCCCGCAGAACACCGCTACAGATGCGAACGGAGTAAGCGTGATTCACACCCAGGCACACAGCAGTGGTTTGCAGCAGGTTCCCCAGCTGGTTCCCGTTAGTCCTGGTGGTGGAGGCAAAGCTGTGCCTCCGAGCAAGCAGGGAAAGAAAAATTCCTTTGTGGATAGAAACAGCGATGAGTATCGTCAGCGCAGAGAGCGAAACAACATGGCAGTGAAAAAGAGCCGGTTAAAAAGCAAACAGAAAGCACAAGACACACTGCAAAGGGTCACCCAGCTCAAAGAAGAAAATGAACGTTTAGAGGCGAAAATTAAGCTCCTGACCAAGGAGCTGAGCGTACTGAAAGACTTATTCCTCGAGCACGCACACAGTCTCGCAGACAATGTGCAACCTGTTGGCACTGAGAGCACCACAACAAATCCAGAAAACAGTGGGCAGTAGTCACTGCCACAGCCTGATGGGATGAACTCTGGAGGTGCAGCCTGTCTGCACCACCCCTGCAGTAACTGAGCAAATGAGGGGTTCTTTTAACCATCATTGTGTGCGGATCTTTTTAGGTTTAACACTGAAGATTTGATACAATTAAACCAGAAACTGCTTAGGGTTTTTCTTTAAAGGCGTTAAATATTTTTCTCTTCTAGAAGATTTGTCTAATAAGTGCAGATCTAAATCCTTAGTCAGCAAGGAGCTTACCATTACAGAAATAGCATTTCACAGATGTACACTTACCTTCTTACATTTAGCACAATGGGAGAAGTTCATCAGGGTGGTTCACTGTAGTATCAGAAAGTCGTATTTGGGTGAATTCCTTTAAATACTTTTTAGTGCATTTAAGCCCTTTCTTTTCTCTGTTACATGTTACAAACTGCAGAGGCTTTAGAGAGTTTGTTGTTCTGTTTGGTGAACTGCTTTTCTACCTACGGAGCAATTCCTGCAAAGCACCACTTAGGCTTTTCCTATCTGGTTACTGGGCAGGGCACAGTAATAGCAAGCTGGGGTACTTCAAAATGTTTTCTAAATAAGCAGCAACATTCTATAATGATCTTTGCAGGCAATTGGCTTCCACGGGGTAAGTGGTGGTCTGAACCAAGTATCAGAGGTAAAGCAGCACATGGGCTGCTTTTTTTTATGCCCGTGTTCATGTTTTCCTGGCTTGCACAGTGAGTGTGGGGCGTTAGGAGAACAATGTTTTGGTTTCCAGAAAATGTAAAAATGCTACCAACAACCTATGCTCTGCAAAACTGCATTCCTGCTGGGGTGCGGGTATCAGGGAGAACAAAATACACAGCTTGGCTGAGCAACAAAAGGGGTAGGGCAGCATATGAACAGCAAGAATGTGTGGATCTCAGCTCACTTATGTTCATTTCCATTCTCACAGCCATTCAGATTTGCAGCCAAGCCTGTACAGAAATGCACAGTGATTTTAAAACTAATGGCCCTCATCTGAACACCCGATTCAGCAGAATTTCTATAGCCATCACAGTTGTGTGAAGGAGTATCTTCAGTCTTATTTCCATAGAAGTTCTTCTATAGCAGTTTTTTTAAATGCTAGTGATAAGTTTTTGCCATGATCCATAATGCAGTGGTATGTACTATATATTGAGGATTTTAACAGCAAAAGTAAAGCAGGAACTTTGGCGTATCCTTAATTTATTTTCATTTTTAAGTATTTCATTGATGGTATGGTTGTGTTACATTTAACCTGTGTGTCTGGCTAGTGGATTATTACACTGTCTTAATTTCCCTCCTACACTACCTTTTCCCCATATTTTGTAGGATGCTTGTTTGCCTTGTACCTCTACTTAGGAAAAGAAAAACCTTGGATATTATCTCTATGAAGATGCTGTTAGAAAATAAAGCCTTTAAAAGTTCTTTCTGAATTTCAGTTTTTAATACAAAGGCAGTTAGGTGCAGTTTTTTATGGATTGTTTTGGACTATGATAGTCTTTTTACAGATATATGGTTTTTTGGTTCTAGCTGCAGCTTAATTAGGTAAGATTGAAATATCAGAAACTAATAAAAACATTTTGCCTCCAGTGCTGGCCTTATTTTTCCTGTCCATTTTCTCTTTCCTTCAGATACAGGTGACCACTTCAAGCAGCTGTCTGAGAAATCAGTACAGCAGTTTTCATTCGTGGAATCATAGAATGGCTTGGGTTGGAAGGGACGCCAAGGATCATCAAGCTCCAACCCCCCTGCTGTAGGCAGGGCCCCAACCTCCATATCTAATACTAGACCAGGCTGCCCAGGGCCTCATCCAATCTGGCCTTGAACACCTCTAGGGATGGAGCAACCATAGCCTCTTTGGGCAGCCTGTTCCAGCACCTCACCACTCTCATACTAAAGAACTTCCCCCTGATATCCAACGTAAATTTTCCCTCCTTCAGCTTATTCTTTAACAAATTCTTGTCCTCCACTTAAGTTCCTATTCAGTGGGAAGAGAATAAGAAACTAGTTAATTTGAGTTAAATTCCCCATTTCTCACTCTCTCTCACACACACATACACAAAAAAAAAAAAGAAAAAAAAAAGAAAAAAAAGAAATGTAAGAATCCTTTCCTGAATGTATACTGCAATTAAAAGGTAATGAGGTAATGAGGGAGGGGCTGGCGGGGGACAATCCTTGTACAAGGGTTGTTGTATAAGGATGAAGATGACCTGACTGCATCTCATTTCTTAGATGGGTGCCAGCTCTGGCAGGAGCCCCATCCCTCCCCTCTGCTCTGTGTTGGAACTACATGGCCTTGTTGCCCTGCTGATGGTTTGACAGCACAGTGTGCGTTCCTCTCCTGATAATCCAAAGAAGGGCCCCAAATCTATGATGTTTTTTCCAACCTTGCTGTACATAGGCTGGCTCCTGGAGAATGATTTCTTTAGTCTCTTGAATGCAAGTCTGACGGAGACTCAGGAACTCCTGGTGCTCCAGCAGGTCACTTCTCCACCTGACAGCACCAATGCCACTTCCTTCTTGCGTGAAACAAAACCACAAAGTTACAACTTACTTGTTTGTGCAATGACTTTTCCAGCATAGCAGCTGCTTTGTTTGCGTGCAGACTGTGTGCGACTGACAAGTTGTTATTTTCAATCTATCCTCAGTGTGAGTTAGGTTCACGCCTTCCTTGCAACTGCTTATTCTGAGCCTCCTGCCAGAAGAGCAGCTTGGCCCCAGGGAGCAGACGCATGGGGGCTATGCTCACATTCTGCACAGGAGAGCTCTCATGGTGAACTTGGAATATCCCTCTTCTTCCTAAGGAAAAACTGGAATGAACACCTCCTCAAAACATGCAGCGTTGGTCTGTGAAAGTTTTCCTTTTGGTCCATTTCTTTTTAATAGCAGCTATAGTCTGTGACAGAACGCAGAGCCTGTCACAAGAAAAAGCGCCATACGTTTCACCACAAAACATTATGCCCATTTTCTTACAACAGTGAAAGAACTCTCCCACTCTGACTTCCCCGAGCAGCCAGGAGGCTCTGCCCCACTCACCACACTGCAGCAGCATCACTGCACAGAGATACACCCCAAGTGCATCCAGCCTGGGACACTGAAGGTTTAAATCTATCAATTCAGAACTTGGACCTTTTTAAACATGTAAGCTTGCTCAACACTGGGCACTCCTGTTATTTTGGTGCGGCTCCATTTGAGTCTGTTTGCACCGAGGGGAAAGAAAGGCATTTGGGAAAATATAGCTAACAGCCTAAGAAATACTAATTTAGTCATAAGGAAAGTTTGTTACAACCTGTATTCCCTCCCCAACGCACACATTTAAAGCATATTAAATATCATTCTGCCATTTTAAAACACTTACTCCCCTCCCTCAGATGCTAATTAAAAAAAAAAAAACAACAACAAAACTAGCTTGCTTTTTGCATAAGTGGGTAGAAATTATCCAGAACTGCAGAACGGAGCACTGGAAGGAAGGGTACAATCTGCTGCAGTTGAGTTCAGTCCCTGGCTGTGGAGGGCAGCGCTCCCGGCCCCGCAGAACCCCCAGCAGCACAGCTGGCAGCGCTCCCCCCCCCACTGCGTGCTGGGACACAGCCTGCCTGCACAGCACCCAGAGCCAGACCTGTTCTGCAGGAGCACCGCCGCCGTGCGCCAGCATTAATCATAGCAGGGAAAGGCCTATTAACTGCCCTAGGACTACAGCTTAGTTGAAACAACTCCAAAACTTTTTTTTTTTTTTTAATCTGTGAAGTGTTACTGTAACACAATAACTGCCACTGAACCTAAGGGACAGCAGGTTTCAGTGGCTGTTCAGAGCATGCTTCAGCTGTGCTTGGACACAGAGGGTAGTGGGCTGAGGCTGCAGGCACAGCCCAGCGCTAGAAAACATCGCAGGGTTCAGAGACAGATAAGTCTGGAGTGTGCTTGCAGGTTGTGGTGTTTGACACCTGCACAGCTGCCAACACACAGCATGGCACCTCTGCACATGCCGTGCATTCAGGAGCAGGAGCCTTTGCACCCTGAAGCTCAGCAGGAGCACTGCTGCACATCACAGCTACTGACCTCACATCTGCTCCTTCACATCCCTTCCCATCTCAAGACCTCCCGCATTCACCTCCTGTAGACCGTGGCCAGCAACCTTTAAAAAAAAATGCACATAGGTTCATCATCACTCAGCAAAGTGACACTGAACAGAAGGAGTGAAGCCTCTGGATTATTTCACAATGAATTCCTTGGTCTTCACCACTTGAAGTTCCCTATTTGGCAATGGCTCACCAAGTGGCTATAAAGGAAGAGCGGGTTTGTGTCGCACAGCTCAGTGCGGTCAGCAGAAAGAGCAACCATTCACCATTTCTGAAAGAACTCCAGATCTCCAGCCGGTCACAGCCAAGGGGCATAAGGCCACAACACAGTGCTTTTGATGTGTTCATCAGCAACAGACATAAACATGACGTGTTCAGTAAACAACACTTCTACGGAGTCAGAGCAACCAGGACTATTTTATGATGCAAGCAGAGCATTTGTTCTCCTGCAGGCTTCACCTACAGTAAAAGAAAGGATTCTGTGGGTAATTTAAATCCTGCATGAATAAAAAGTCATTTTGTGATCATTATTAATATGTTTGTGGTCTATCCATATAAAATTTAATGATTAATGATTTAATTCTGAAGCTGCTAACAACAGATGGTTTGAAGCAACTCCATCGTTTGGCAGAGCACAGCTCTGACTGACCCAGAGCTCTGGAATGAAGACGTTTCCTTCTTGCAGGTTTTAAGGCTTCTGAACACTGCAGCGATCTACAATTTTAAGGAACAAATAGATGAACAAGTTTAATAAGGCTGTGTGCAGGATCAATGTACCCTGTAACCAGAACAGAAGTCAGGCTAACAAAGAGTCAGTGTTTCCAGAGCACAAATTGGCAGAAAGTCAGGTAAAGAAGTAGAAATGGCAGCAGAAGAATCTAATGAACACAAGTTGTAAACAAAAATGATGCCAAGGATGAATTTTAATACAAATTTCATTCTGCTTACTCCATTGTCACTGATACAAGATCCATAAGAAAAATATAAGTGTCATTTTGTCCACTGAAAAGAGCTGATTTTTTTCTCTTTTTTGCAATACTTGTGATAAAGCTTAATAAATGACTTAGGTTGTTACAACTGCTGGCAGCATTCAGATCACCTGTATTTTAAAGAGTCTCTATCATCAAAATTCAGATTTAACTGGAAGAAATCACTGCTGTAGCAAGGTTATTCAGGTGGCACTTGTTTGTCAACTGCTGCCTGCAAAGCAGCGACGTCGGAGGTATATGGATATCCAGTGCTGAAGCCTTCTACTTTCATTTTTAATTAATGAATCAATCCGGCTAATAGCCTGCCCTCTTCTCGCTATGAAGAATTGGATGTTATCTTATATGCTGCAGTGTTAAATCAGAACGATGACTGATCAGCGTGGGACATTCAGCATCACCTGGAGCTTACTCCTGTTGGCTGGACAAGGAGCCAAATGACTTGGCGCTGCCTTGGCCTTCTGCCATGAAAGCCTCTATTTCTTCCACAGTACGTGGGACGCACGTCAGCAACTCCATCCCGCTGGCTGTCACCGCAATATCATCTTCAATCCGGACCTGTCACAGAGAACACGCGGTTACCAGTGAGGTATTCCAGCTGGAGACGAGAAGCACTTCGGGCAGCGATGGCCACGGAGCAACTGGCGTGTTTCCAACTGAGTTGCTGATACAAGAGCAGAACACAGAGCAAGCACCAGAACCTCAGGAGGCAGTGGCCTGCAAGTGAGTTTGGTGGTGCTCCTGCAGGTGCCCAGGAGTGGGTGAGTGAGGCTGCGCAGTCCCTGTGCATCCCCCCCCTCTGATACCAGGAGCAGGAAAAGGCACGTTGCCCCAGGCTTTGCCTGTACCCTTGCCAGTGCCCAGCTTGCTGGGACAGCAGTGCCTGCTGACGCCTGAGGTGCCCGCTCTTGCAGCAGTCCTGGTGCTGAGCTGCAGTTTGCTGCTGTGCGCAGACAAGTCACATCTTCTCTAGATACAGTACACTTTCAAAGGAGGAACTGCAACACGAAGTAGCTTGTAGCTGATATTCAAACATTGAATTTTGAGCTGATAAGAAATTCCTGCACAGGTCAGAATTCCTTTTAAAGGACAATCACTGTTTAAATCATGCAAGGAAAAAGCAGATCCTCTCAGTTTTTCAGCTCTTGTTCTGTTGAAATGAAAAGTATGTTCCATTTTCTGACTCTAATCTCTCTTAGCCAGTAAATGTGCCTACATAGTCATTTCCCATTATCTTATCAGAAAAATGTTGCTAAGTCACTAAGCTGCAATAAAAGCAATTTTAGTAAGGTGTAAATCCAAGAGAACACACACTCCGGGGACTCCCATCTTACAGTTGTTTTAATTGTTTCTGACCTCTTGACATTTCCAACTAAAAATAAAGTTGGATAACATTTGTACTTCTGATTGCAAAATAATCCATTTGTTCAAACAGAATGAGTCATCTACTCCTTATTAAACTGTTTAATGATGTCGTTGCCAAATTATTTCTTTTAGCTGGTATCAAGTTAAGTGTATTATAAA